ACCTTAGTTAGTAGTTCTGAATTTTCATATCTGAGTTCCTTCCGAACCCTTAGGTGAGTACCATCTGGTGACTTATTACGCTTTAACTGATCAATTTGTTCAAAGCCTCTTATATTGACAGCTGAATCTGAGATACTTCCTCAGATTTGTCAATTAAAAAGAATAGGTCAGGAGTGGAAATCTTCCTCACATCCTCTGCAGTGAAGACTGATGCAAAGAATTAATTTAGCTTCTGTGCAACAGCCTTGGCTTCCTTCAGTGCTCAATCACCCAGTGACCCCCACTGATTGTTTGGCAGGCTTCCTCCTTCTGATGTACCTAAAATAATTGCTGTTCATTGTTGTGTCTTTTGCTAGTTGCTCTTCATTTTTTTGGCTGCCTAATTATACTTTTACAGTTGCTTTGCCAGAGTTTATGCTCATTTCAATTAGCCTCAGCAGGATTTGACTTCCCATTTTTAAAAGATGTATTTTTGTCTCCCGCTGCTTCTTTTACTCTGTTATTTAGCCATGGTGGCATTTTTTTTTGGTCCTTTGTTTTTGTGTGTATGCTTTGTTTTTTGGTTTTGTGGGGTTTTTTTGTTTTGTTTTTGGTGTACATTTAATTTGAACTTCTGTGATGGTGTTTTAAAAAAGTTTACATGCAGTTTGTGGGCATTTCAGCATGACTGTTCCTTTTAGTTTCACTTCATTTTTGTATAGTTCTCTTTTTGAATTTAAATGCTACTATGATGTACTTTACCCTTCACGGGTGTTAAATTTAATTACATTATGGTCACTATTATTAAGCAGTTCAGCTGTATTAATCTCTTGGACAAGATCCTGTGCTCCAGTTAGGACTACATCAAGAATTGCACACCTATAGAGACTGTGTCTCTTATTCCAGACAAGAAGAGGGTCTTAGCAGCCATACTGAGTCACAGATTCCAGGGCCAGAAGGGAACATTCTAATAATCTAGTCCACTGTTTCTTAAACTTTTTAAGACCAAGGAACACCAAACAATAATTTTTTTTTGAGGAACACCAAGGATTTTTTGTTGAGCAAAGGTCGGGGGGAAAGTTATTGAGGAAAAAAATGGGTCGGGGGGAAGTTGAAAGAAAGAAAGAAAGAAAGAAAGAAAGAAAGAAAGAAAGAAAGAAAGAAAGAAAGAAAGAAAGAAAGAAAGAAAGAAAGAAAGAAAGAAAGAAAGAAAGAAAGAAAGAAAGAAAGAAAGAAAGAAAGAAAGAAAGAAAGAAAGAAAGAAAGAAAGAAAGAAAGAAAGAAAGAAAGAAAGAAAGAAAGAAAGAAAGAAAGAAAGAAAGAAAGAAAGAAAGAAAGAAAGAAAGAAAGAAAGAAAGAAAGAAAGAAAGAAAGAAAGAAAGAAAGAAAGAAAGAAAGAAAGAAAGAAAGAAAGAAAGAAAGAAAGAAAGAAAGAAAGAAAGAAAGAAAGAAAGAAAGAAAGAAAGAAAGAAAGAAAGAAAGAAAGAAAGAAAGAAAGAAAGAAAGAAAGAAAGAAAGAAAGAAAGAAAGAAAGAAAGAAAGAAAGAAAGAAAGAAAGAAAGAAAGAAAGAAAGAAAGAAAGAAAGAAAGAAAGAAAGAAAGAAAGAAAGAAAGAAAGAAAGAAAGAAAGAAAGAAAGAAAGAAAGAAAGAAAGAAAGAAAGAAAGGGTCACCTGCCCCTTTAAGGGTGGCCATTTTGAATTCTGTTGTTCTCCGCGGCACACTAGTGTGCCACGGAACACAGTTTAAGAAACTCTGATCTAGTCCAACCTCCTATATAACAAAGGCCAAAGAACTTCCTCAGAAAGAACAATTTCTACCTCAAACTTGCATTTCCCTATGCCTCATCTGTGGATGAGGATTTGGGGTTTTTCCTGGGTTAGACTCCTACATAATTCTCTTCCCCTGTACTCATCTGTTTCTGAGTACAACCAATCATCCTAAACAACTCTACTCCTGAAGACCCTCTTCTGCCATGCAGACTAAATGATTATAATGATAGCTTTATTTATTCAATAAACAAAGTAGGTGAAGTCTAATAAAGATTCTCCCTTACCCACCATGTCTCCCCAACATCTGGGCACCAACACAGCCACAGAGCACACAAATGTATCTGTTGTTCCACTTTCTTCTAACCTGTCTAAGTTTGTCTTTCTGCTCTTAGACTGGAAGCTCCTAGGGGAAGGGATCAAGCTTTGTTATCTGTGTCTGTCTACCAAGTGTCCAGCCCATTGTAGATGTTACCATAAAAATAAACAAATAAATAACAATCACAAAAACATTTCATTTAGATTGTGTGTGTGCTGGGCAAAGGGAGAAGCTTGACACTTTCTAAAAAAAATGGATAGTGTCTAGTCTTGCTTACACTGAAATCAGGAGCTCTGCTATTGGTTTAAATGACAGCAGAAACAGTTTTTCATTGTATACAGTGTAGTTTTCACTGTCACTTACAAAAACTATAGGGATTGTCAGACTGTGTCATACCAAAAGAAATGCTAGTGCTGGACCCTACCTCTGACAGTGGCCAGTATCACATGGAAAATGCAAATAAAACCCAAAATTGAATTCTATGCAGTATCCTGCTTATAAGTCAAGTTTCTTCCTAACCCTAAAAATAGGACTTTTTTTCTATCAAATGTAGCTGTGTTATGTCCTCATCATCCACATAAGTATCTAACTTCCTTCTGAATTCTACGTATCTCTTGGCCTCACTCATACCTTGCAGTAATAAGTTCCATGGGTTAATTATTCTTGTGTGAAACATTTCCTTTTATCAATTTTGCCATTTCAATTATTGTCTCTTATTGTGTTACTAGTAAAGAAAACCCTATTTACCTTCCCTATTTCATTCATTATTTTATATTGTGTCATTCTTATTAATCTTCCATCTAAAGTAAACATTCTGAATCTTTTCACTCTCTCCTCATGCAGAAGTCTTTCTATGCTTCCAATCATTTGTCTCTCTTGCTTCTGTTACATGTTTTTGGGTTAAAGTGGCCAGGACCAGATACATTATTCCTTGTGAAAGTGCCTCTAACACAGAATACCTTTATAATATTTCTATTCTGTTATTTATACAACCTAATACTTTGTTTTATCTTTTGACCATCACTGTATATTAAACAAAAGGTTTTTATTCAAAGGTTGTCCCCAGTAACCTTCAGGTCTCTAGCCAAAGTCATTATGGTTAATCTATAACCTCATAAAGTGTATGAATGTCTCAAATTATTCCTTTCAACTTACATTTAACAATACTGAATTTCATCTGGCATGTCACCTAGATTCAAAATCCTTCTTAAGTTTTTCACCCTCTTCTCTAGTATTTCCTAAATTGTGTCATCTGCAGACTTTGTACCTTTATGGTTCACTACCTTTTCCAAGCCATTAATAATATATTTAACTATCATAAACCTAGCATGTAACCTTGAAACAAGCAATGGCTTACCTTTTGCCATGTTGAAAACTAAGTATTTATTACTACTCTGGGTTCTACCTTTTAGGTTGCTCCTCATCTGCGGCAGTACTTTCCCTCCCACCCCATGACTGTGTGATTTCCTTAGTAGCCCTTGAGATATGTCAAAGATATTTTTGAAGGGCCTGATAAATTATAACAGCTGATTTTCCTTTATGCATAATGTTGGCAACAAATACTACACTAATAGATAATCTAGAAATATCTTGAATAGTCTACTACTTACTTTTCAATAGATATTATAATTGTATACGTACACATACACACGTATATATTATGATCAGAACATACATAAATATGCATGTATTTAAATACAATCCACATGCTGAATTTAACATAAGCACACACTCTATATCTTAATATGCTGTTGTATGCAAATAATGTGCACTTGTATACCTATATACCTACACACAGTTACTGAACTTTTCAGCTATTCCTACCATTTCAGTTTTGGTAGACAAAATGAAGAACGTAACTGTTCAATTTGCAATTTAGAAGCACCATTATTTTCAATGGGATTTGAAGAGTTTCAAAGTATAAGTTGGTTCCGTTAGATTTTATATATCCAAATGACAGTAAACTAGTTGGGAGGTAAAACACTGAACAAAATCAAAATATTTGCTTATGATGTTGTGGTGCTGATTTTAACAAATTCCAGCCCATTAAAGGAAAATAAGACTTATCTTCTTCTTTGAAGGAAAACCAAAACCAAAGTATTTTAAGTTTATTTCACACTTAGTGAATGATAGTATGCAAACCCAACTTCAGTTCCTAGACACCAGTATACACACTCACTTTTCTTACAGTTTGAGTGACGCACCACAAAACAAAATGAATAAATAAATAAATAAATAAATAAAAAGAACTTCTTAGGCAAGCTGTCCTCCACCCTGCAAACTTGGCAAAAGCCATACTGTACTGAAATACAGCGCTCTCCATATAAGGAAACGCAGCTAAACATGTCATGCGTAATTTATGTGCAGTAGGCAGAGAATTAACCTTTCACTGCACACATTTGGCCCACTGGAAAACCGAGCGAGATTGCAGATTGAGATGCGATGCGAATTTTCCCTCTGAATAAATTCTTTGCCAGTGTTTACGAGCCTCTGCGACTCGATCTAGGGTTCCCTCCAAACAAGGCGCATTAAGCCAGTATGACGCTTTATATGCACCTGTGTTTGTTTGTTTTTTTCCTGCTGCTTCTCCTTCCCCCGTCGCCTTCCGCCCACCCTTTTCTTTTTGCGAAGACTGCGAAAACCCTGCGATCTTGACAGAGCGTGCAAAGCACTAACAGGAAGCGCCTGCTTTAAGCAGAAGTGCAACTGCGACCTACCGCTTTCTTTTTAGCTAGAGATGGTGAGTGATATGAAACCATCCCCTGTGGAAACCCAGCCCCTGGCTGATAAACTGCAAGTCAGTGAAAGCCTAAACTCACTTCCTCATTCAGCCATCTAGATTTTTGCACCCTGAAAATAAACACACGAGGACAGACAGACGGACTCGTTAAAAAGAGCCAGGCAGGCAGGCAGACTGTGGAAATGGAAACTTACCTCTCACATTTTTTTCCAGAGGCAAGCAGACTGTGGACAGAATGCCCAAGGCATTGTGGGATTCATTCTTGCAAGATGACAAAGATTAGAAATGGAGCCTGACAGTCCCCTGTCACAGGAGCATTCTGACAGCCACAACTCGCTCAGCTGCAGTGAAAGACTGTTGCATATAGCTGTGCAGACTCTTATCTCTAATGTCTGGTTTCCGCTGCTGCCTGCACTGCCCCTCCCCCATTCAGCAAAACCTACCAGGAAGCACGGGGCGAACTGGTCGAGCCTTAAGAATGCACTAGGGGGAGGGAGGGGGGAGGAATCTTTTCATGCTACTGCAGCGTTTTGCCTTCGTGAAACTCCAAGTACCGACACAAATGCAAAACCGTAGGCAACTGAAAAATTGTAGACGGGTGAGACAGACACAACAATGTGGTATAAAATGTATCTGAGTAAAAATCAACCCCTGAAAGCTAGTGGTGGTATATCCCAGCTTATATGTTAAACATCATAACCTCTGAACTAGAGTGAAAATATGACACATGCACACTACTGTTTTTCTGGACTGTTTGTTCAGACAATGAGTGAATCCTTTAAAAAAAAAGATTCTGAAAGACAAAGTGACGATCAGGCTGCAAGAATGCAAAAAATAACCAAGCGAGTAGACTTTATGCGGCTTAGTAAAGTGCTGCTGCTTTAAAATTCTCTGTGTACAGTGTACCAATGGGATTAGTTAAGCACAGGCACCCTGTCTGCAAAATACTGTCTTTCTGTGACAACCAATTGGCTACAGCTCTGCAAATTTCCAGGAAATGTATATATGAATTGCCACTAGAAGTATGCAACACTTTTGCACAAATAATGTAAAATATTCCTAACCTTAAAGATTCTAGAAACAACAACAACAATCTTTAAAAATAGCAGGTGCTGTATCCTTTTTTACTAGGTCTCGGGAACATTTCAATTAATTTTGCATGGCTCCCAAGATTTATGGTTTGTTTCAATAATTACACACTTAGCCTTATTGTATTCCACAATACACACCAACTCATAATGTGTTCCAGGATCCAATAATAATTCTGAAGGAAAAGGAAGGGGGAAAACCTCCTGCTAAAAGCCTAATTTCTGCCTTAAATGATCAGACATAAATTTTGCTTTGACCTGAAATTTTTAATTAGGTTTGTACTTAGGTTTTTAAAATGTTATGTTGATCATTGTGGGTGTTAACCTTTCTTCCTCCCTGACAACTTAGCAATGTGATTCTAATTAGATAAAAACCACATTTCTTTCCATATTCACTGAAACAGGGCAAATGATCACCCCCACTCTAGAACTAGGGTCAAAGAGACTGCAAGTGAGTTTTTGTTTTTCCACTAAGAGTTCTTTTGATCCTTCCTCAGTGTGAATAAAGAGCACTGCATATGCTACTGTTTCTGGGCCACTAGATCCTATCTAGGTGTTCCCAGAGTTCCTGAAGAGAACAAGTGCAGGTAATATTGAAATAGGGAGCAGCACATTAGATATGGGAAAAAATAAGTTCTGTGGTGATGATGCATGAATGACATTGTAGAGTAACTCTATATACAAGTTTCAATATATTGCACCTAAATTTCAGGAAATAGTGCAGCTGTTCCACTTCTCCATTCAAGAGTAAGTTGAATAATGAAAGCAACTTACTCTTCTAATATTGTATTTGAAACACTTCCTGAAATTAAAAACTATTAATTTCATGAATATCGCAATTTGACTATTTATAACAGAAAGAGCAAGGCGCTGACATGGCAATCTATGTGGCTGGTCCCTGCTCTGTGTAGAGCCCTGCTGACTTAATCAGATCTCCATATTTGCACAAGAATTTGTGTGAATAGATCACGGTATTTCTTACTGCAGAATTAGTTTGACTACACCACCAGAGAATCAAATTATTGCAAAACAAAAAAACCCAAAACCCTACACCTTCATTCTTAACCATTAACAATGGGAGAAACAAATAACCCCTGCCACAGCTGTCGACTAAATACCTTCAGGATTCCTGCAATACTTAGGCTGGCTACGTCTACGCTGGAATGTTCTCACGCAAAAACTCTTTTGTGGAAGAGTTCTTCTGCAAAAACTGTTCCAGAAGAGAGCATCTAAACTGGCATGCGCTTTTGCGCAAGAGATGTGCTTTTGCACAAGAGAATCCATGCCAGTGTAGGTGCTCTCTTGCTCAAGAAAGCTCTGGTGGCCACTTTAACCATATGGCTTTCTTGCGCAAGAAATTCATGTTGCCTGTCTTCATTGGCCTTTTCTGGAAGAGCTCTTCCACAAGAGGGCTTATTCCTGAGAGGGAGCATCAGAGTTCTGGCACAAGAAACCCTGATTTTATACATTAGAATGTCAGTGTACTTGCGCAAGAACACGTGACCAGTGTAGACAGGCCGCAAGTTTTTGCGCAAGAGCGGCTGCTTTTGCGCAAGATCACGCCAGTGTAGACAAGCCAAGGTGTCCAAATGGAACTTAAACCTCACCAGATAATTAGTCTCCTTTTGAATCTTTTAAAACTTTCTGTACTTATACAAAGTCAGACCTTATTTAGCCCCAAGAGGTTTAATAAACAATGACAACATTCTAGTTCACAAAGCTGTGTACTGCCACGTTTTACCAACGCATAATAAAGGTCCAACCCTTGAAGTGAGTAGGAGATTTGCCATTGACTTTAATGAGGCTAGCATTTCTCCCAGAGAGGTAAGTATAAGTGGCTTGTGCAGTATTACACATATTGTATGTGGCATATACAAATGTGCAAATGACCATGGAGTCAATTTTTAGATATAAAAGTCTACTTTAGGGCACCCAGCACCACACTTGAATGCTCACATCAAGACTTTAGTATATCTACACTGCAAGCACTACAGCCACACAGCTGTGGCACTGCAGCTATACTATAGTGGTGCACTGCAGACAATGGAAGGTTTTTTTTCCCCTCCATCACTATAAACAAATCTACCCCTCAAAAGGTGGTAGTTCAGTAGAATTATTCTATTGACCTATCTGCATGCTCCGGTCATCTGAAGAAGTGGGCTATACCCACAAACGCGCATGATACCATCTACATGTTTTGTTAGTCTCTAAAGTGCTACCAGACCATTTGATGTTTTTTACTAGGATTTAGGTCAGCTTAACTGTGTCTCTCACCCAGTTCCCACCTGAGTGATGTAATCAGGTCTAACTAGGTTTTAGGTGTAGATCAGCCCTTAAGAAGTATTGCATGCATTTTTAAGTATATAACCTGAGTGATGTAATCAGGTCTAACTAAGTTTTAGGTGTAGATCAGGCCTTAAGAAGTATTGCATGCATTTGTAAGTATATTTTTTAAAACAAAAATTCCCTATTTCTCCCAACTTTCAAACTTAATTTCTACTTGCCCCCATTGGGAACAATTTAGAAAACTTTTACCTTATAGCCAGTATAGTAACATTTTCTGTATTTCTGCAGTCTCTATCACTCAACTAAATGGTAGGCCAATTAGTCAAGGACAAAAAGCAGAGTCAGAGTGCAGAGACCTTTAATACTGATACTTCCTTAGGAATCTTTACCATTCAGGGATTTAAAAATCAGCAGGGCCATTTTAAGATCCACTTTAGGCCTGATCCTACTTCTAAAAAAGTCTATGGTATATCTGGCAATGAGCAAAATCAGGTCCTACCTAGTGAGGGATTTTTAGAGGATTTTCAGAGAGGGTTTTTTTCTGTTTTTATAAAAACAGAATACAAATATCCCATAATGATTTAAATGCATAAACTTATATAAAGCAGTGCTTCAGCAAAGCACTTAGCAGATGCACATAAAGTTAAGTGCTTTTTGATTTTCTATATTTCACAGTCTTTGCATAGTTAATCATATAATTAAAGCATTTACATTTTGTTTTACAATTACTAAATGCTATTTAATTTGTCTTTAAATTTCCATTTTGAAGGAAACTGTTTACATACAAAATATACACTGCCTGTGAGTGTATTATTGTATTAGAACAGTCTTTGTAGCAATCCAAGGGTGCATTTATACAGCAAAGTTATTTCAGAATAACAGCTGTTATTCCGCAAAAACTATGCGAGCCTCTACATAGCAAATTCCGTTATTTTGAAATAATTTCAAAATAACAGATGGCTTATTCTGACTTCTGTAAACCTCATTCTATGATGAATAATACCTATTCCAAAATATATATTTCGAAATAAGGTGTGTGTAGACTCTCCACTTCTGCTATTTCAAAATAGCCCCTCACCAGGGCCATTCTAAGTTACTCCTCCTGGGGCTCTAAATCAAGATACATTAGAGAAGCCTACAAGTCTACATTAGGGAAGCCTGCCTCGGATTAATTTTGAGGCTTCCCTGAAGTGCAGATGTGCTATTTCAAAATAAGCTATTTTGGAATAACTATTCCAGATTTTTCCAAAATAACTATGCAGTGTAGACGTAGCCCAATTGCACAAGAAGGGGAGAAGAGATGCTTTATAAGTAAACTTTTTATGTATATTTGGCTATGGTAAAATTTTAGAAAAAGATTAGAATTTGATTTCTTAAAGGTTGTTTCAGTAAATAAAGAAAAATAGAACAAAAACTGTCAATGATGCATTTAAATTATAAACCTCAAAAATGAGTAATATCACACAGCAGAACTTATACTGTAATATTCTGAGACTGCAGCAATGTCTATTTTTGGCAGACCCCCTCTCCCCACACACACACACACACACAAAGTTGCTTAAAGGCAATTTTTTCTAGTTTTGCTGATTTAAGTTATTAACAGTCCTTGATATAATTTTAGGTAAAGCGGGCCAGGTCCTTAGGTCTGACTGAAGGTTCAGGTCATTACATTATTATAACATGTAGTGAGTATGTTTCCACATTTCCCCCTGAATTTTTGAATGCCTTTTATTACCTTTTATTGTACCAGTCAGTCTATCCTCTTTTTATTTGGAAGATTTGATAAGTAGCTCTCTGAATGACTATGATATCAGAATCATATGATGTTTGATTATTATTATTCTGTATTTTGATCAGGCCTCTATTCTTACTCTTATGAATTTTAACCCTATACTAGATTCTGTTGACTTGAAATGGTTGGTTACCACAGCAACACACTCAGCTGGTTGCTGTTACCAGTCCTGGATCATGCAGTGGTGCCCTGATGAATTCCTTTCTCAAAGCAATCTTCAAGGTTCAAACCATACATTTATTTTCATCTCTGTCCCTTTTCTTCAGA